CCTGAATCCTGTTTGTGTTGAATCTGTATAGGAGATATAAAGTCCTACATCAAGCAGGTCACAGCTCCATCATACTGATTACTCAATATTACATTTGACTTGTCCTTTCTTTTCTGAACGCAACAATGAACAACTTCTGATCTTTCACAGCATGCTTCCCCCAGGTTACAGAGAAAACAGGTCTGTAGATCTGCCCTACACTCAACCAAATCAAGAATCTCGACATTCCCTCTCAACCTATTGTCATGCCTTCGACACAATCATACAACTTCACATAAATGTTAACAGTAAATATTTTATCAAACTCAAAATACATTTAACAGGGAAAGATATTCCAACACAGAAGGAGGGAGGGAAGTCACAGATTTGGATTAAGTATATATAAAACTTTTAGGGTATTTTGTATTGACAATTTAACATGAACCAAGACTCCAGGGCTGGGGGTGTAGCTCAGTGGTTCTGGTGCCTGCCTTGCAAACACAAGGTCCCGAGTTCAATCTCCAGTACCAAAAAAAAAAAAAGACTTTATGCTTTTTAACTTTTTAAATTTTAAATTCCTTAAAATTATATTTTACTGGGTATCTTCTCAAAAGAATTAAAGAATCACAGCGATATATGCTCACCCATGTTTAAAGCGTCACCGTTTGTAATAGCTAAAACTTGGAAACAGCCCAATTGCCCATCAACTGGAGACTAGATAAAGAAGATGTGTTTTTTTTAATAAAATGGAGTACTACTCAGCCATAAAGAATGAGAAACTAGAGTCATTTATAGCTAGTAGATGCACACTGAGGACACACTCAAGTGAAATAAACAGGACACATGTGTAAATTCTGTGTCGTTTCTCTGGTGTGATAAACTAAAAGTGTAAATAAGGATCAAAACATATAACTGATATTGTATAATAGGAAGGAAAGGTCTGAAGGTGTAGGGGAAGTAGGAGGGGTAAAGGAAAGGTAAGAAGGGAAAAGAAAAAAATAAGAGAAAAGTAAAAAACATGAAAACAAAGTCTTTGTAAATAGGGAAGGGTAGAGGGGGAGAAGGGAGGCTAGAGGAGTGAGGAAAAAATAAGAACCAAGATACATCATGTAAAGGTACAAGATCCCAATGATGAATGTTAACTGTATTGTATATCTAAAGTGTACCAATAAAGAAGAATTACTTTTTAAAAATTATATCTTATTAAATAATTACAACATCATTTCACTTTGTAAAGCCCCTCATTGAGAGATGCACAGCAAACTTCAGACTCAATGCTACACGAAAATATACTATTAATGTAACTTTCACTCTGAATATAGTTTTGCAGAATTAAAACTATTCAAAGTTTGAAATATTAAAAAAATCTGATCATTAGTGCTTCCTCTAATTAAGGAACTACTACATCGGGGAGCAATTCAAATTCAAAGCAAAAATTTTTTAATATTCCTTTTTTCCTGGGCTAGAGATTTAACTTGGTGGTTCCGCTGCCTGCCTCACAAGCGCAAGGTCCCAAGTTCAATCCCTGGTACTAAAACACACACACACACACACACACACACACACACACACACTCCTTTCTTCCTGCTCTGCAATAGTTTAAATGAAATAAATCCTGATACTCAAAGGTTGGCAGTCAATTCCTTTTTTTTTTTTTTTTTTTTTTTTTTGTTCCAGGGATCAAACTCAGGACCTTGCACTTGCCAGGCAGGCACAGCGTTAAAGGGCTACATCCCTGGCTGACAGGCAATTTCTTCATGAATGAAGATTTTGTCCAAACAGTACCACAAGTACAATAAAGAAACCACCCTGTTATAGAAGTACATGTATCAAACCAATTGCAAATTTCTGTCTACATGTTATACATTTATATATGTAAGTTCCCACCACCACCACCACCCCGCCCTCCTCCTCACGCTGGGATTGAACTAAGGGGGCCCTCACACTGAGGTACAGCCCCAGTTCTTTTATTCTCACTAAATCGTTAAGTTGCCTGACTGGCCTCAAATTTGTAATCCTTCCACCTCAGTCTCCCAGAGCGCCATAATTACTTGGCATGCACCAACACCTCTGGCTATAGATAACCTTGTAAAATAAATTTTAAAATTAAAGGTTCAAAACCTTATGTAAAATTATTGAGAAACTCAGTCCTTAAAATCTGCATACTCTGGGTCGGGGATTTAGTTCAGTGGTTCCACCGCCTGCCCTGCAAGCACAAGGACCTGAGCTCAATCCCCAGTAAAAAAAAAATCTGCATACTCTTTCAAAAGTAAAAATTCACGTGTAGTAATATTTTGTGCCATTTTCTATCTTTTTTTGCTCCAAAATTTGTATCTGTATTTTTGGAATACATTTTATAAAAATAAGTATTGCCTATCACCTTAAAGTTCTTTCCAAATTCCTTAATACAGGAACTTCTTCATATGCATTCTTCCCCCTTAACAAACACAGAACTAAAAACATTAGTGTCGATTAGTAAACTTAAGTCTCTACTAGTATTCATCCCACTTAAAAGTTTTTCCTGGGGCTGGGGATTTATCAAGCAAGGTCCCGAGTTTGATCCCCAGTACAAAAAAAAGAAAGAAAAAAAATGTTTTTCCTGGGAAGGTGATGCAGCTTAATCACAAAGCTACTTGTCCAGCATGCATGAGGCCCTGGATTAGATCCCCAACATCAAAAGAAAGTTTTTCCTAATCAACAAAACATTTTTCCTAAGCAATAAACAAATCTTGTATTATAACAAATATTTAAAAAATACTAGTATCTATACAATTTTGTGTTGTTACACTATATGAAATTCAATTTCTTCATTAGTACAAAATAATTTCATTTCACTGGTCATCGAGAGACCATATATTACTTCTAACGATGGACAAAAATAATTATTGCTGTTTTCCTCTGAGTTGTTACAAGAATTAGGGAAATAATTTGAAAATGAAAATAATCAGCACTCTACAAGTACTATCTCAGTTGATCCTAACAACTTACATAATTGATATTTTCATCCCACTTACAGATCAAGAAATTGAAGTGGAAATGATTCGATCAGTCCTGCACACCACCTACCCAGTAAGGACCTTCACCTAAAGGTATTCACATTACTCTCGAAACAAATAAATGCAAGGTTTTGCATTCTGAGACAGACTAAGCAAAACATCGTGTAAATATTTTAGGCTGCGTCTTAAATCCTCAGAAGTTAAGATGGTAGCAAAACCTTACACACTTTTCAAAAATTAACCATGAACACCCGGAGTAACAGACTCAAAACAAATCTTGAGTAATCAAATTGACAGTATGCTAATACTGATCTTTGGCAAGATTATCTGACAATTCACCTAACTAGAACACAAGTCAGTCCTTAAGAAAATAAGTATTACAATGCTTAAGTAGATTCATTTACTTTTCTCAACCATTTCACTCTCTAAGGACCTGATGATTACTCCCCTATGCAGAATGACAAAAGTGAATATGATTTCCACGCTCCAGAAAGCGCAGGAAGGGGGCGGGGGCACTAATCAAAGTTACAAGCACAACCAATAGCAAAGCAAGAAAAAAGCACTTTAAATCACTTCAAAACGCAAAGAAATATGTTACTTGTATCAACAGTCCTACCTACCATCCAACAGATTCTCAGGACATCACAGCAATCCAAAGTCATGAATTATGATTAGGACATCAAAAGAAGTTTAATTATACCCTCTATCCTATTTAAGACAAAGAATTATATAATTTTATGTAATTTTCATCCAAAGCGGTTCAAGTGGTTTTATAATTTGGCGCTTAAAGGAATAAGCCCACAATTATCCTGTAACAGCAACTAATGGATTAAATAGGAATTCATTTGAAAGTTCCAAATAGCAAATATTTTCTTTCAGTTTCTGAGTCCAAGAAAACTTGGTGTGTAAAAGGCACCTTAAAGCAGAAAGGAAGTGAGGAAACATAAAATTAGAAAGTCTAAAAACACCAGATAGCTAGGCGAGTGTCTGCAAACACTGAGCTCCACGCATCCCCCACAGAACAAAGTGTGGGCAGCGGGTGCCACATCAGCAGGTCTCTCCATTTGCCCTGCCACTAAATCCTGTGAGCTTCATGAATGATTAATTCCGGTAATGGTTTGAGGACAGGAAGCAGCACCAACTCTCAAGTGGAAGAAGCGACAGCGTCCCTAATTTGCTGCACAAAATCCAATTTGGTTTTATTCTTACAGAACACTTTCTGCCTTAAAGAGACATAAATCTGATTTTTTAAAAAACTTTTTTTTGTTAAATAAGTTAATTGTAAAGGATCGAAGGAGTTCGCGCCTAGCTCGCGGTGAACTCTCTTTTGATCAGGAGAACTGCTGCAGCACTCAACAAACTCCACTCACCGCCCGGGGACGCATTCGGGCACCCCGGACTGCAAACAGAACTTCAGAGGCCGGGGGCCGGCCCCGAACGGGCTGCACAGGAAGCCCCGGCTCCGCGACCCCGGGAAAGGGCCCGGAGGGGTGTGGCCCTCGGG